TTTCATTCCCATTTTCTTTTGCATTACAGAGTTGCTTATCTAAGATTATTTGTGAAGGCCCATGTGAATGCAAAAAGTCTTACATAGGTTCAAGGAGAAGCTCAACAGTGAGATTCCTTGAGGATTACTAGTAATGCAAACTACATCATCCTCAGAAACTACCTGGACTTGAAAATAGATAAAAGTAGATACTCAGAGAATAAGTGCTTGAAAATATATCTGGGAATAAATACTGGGATCTCTCTTTCCTCCAGAAATAGCGATGAGGTAATGATACTGCTCACTTTTTGCACAATAGTATGGTAGTTTGAGGGAGATCCGACTTTTAGTTACACCTCAGCCTTAGAGGATCACAGAATAACCTAACGATTTAGATTGAGAGGGACCTCTGAAGGTCATCTTGTCCAACACAAGGATTTTAACAAAAGGAGCTGCAGAGAGGAGTGTCTAGAACCAGGTAATGAAGCAAACAGCAGTACAGAGGTGAAAAGAAATTAGATAATGTAACTCAGAGAAAATACAGTGAGATTATATTTTAAAAGTGCTTACTTTGTGCATCCATTTCAAAGATCTGTAATTTCACTTCATTATGCAAACCTATGCAAACTTCGTACAGTACATGGAGGTCAGTTTTATTGAGTCTGTTGTGCCAGGTGCAGTATGTATGAGTGGACTGCTTAATATTATATACACTACAAAGTGAACAGATTCGAAGTTGTGGATGAAAATGATGTAAGTTTACTCCAGCTGTAGCTTTCTTCCTTAGAATTACAGGTCTAAGGAAAGTGAAGCATTCAGAAGTGGGAAGGCATTGACAGAATCATTCAATCTGTGGGATTATAAACAAGTAAAGAATCCAATTAAAGAGGATAAGTATATTGAAGAGAAACTACAGTTAATGTTTGTTACAAGAATCTTCATCACAGGATATTAGCTTGGGATCTAATTTATCCAGTGAAAATTAGAGGTTGAGGCATAAGAAGATAAGATGCTGGACTAAAATTATGTTTCAACAAATAAAAAATTTTAGGAGAGGGCTGTCTGGTATTTGTCTGGGGGATCTAATATAATTCAGTAATAAAGTAGCTAATCTGCTAAAAATCTGCTGAGAATCTAAATTGCAGAATATGGTGCCTTATTTCATAACAAAAATACCTAACTAAAGCAATAATTCTGAGTATCTAAAACATCCATTGAACATGGATTTCAGTGTATGAAAATATTGAAAAGGAGGTTTTGAGCATGCTAGTAAGTTAGAAGATAAAAGAGAACTGGTTTACACAGTCTATTTGAACTTCCAGGGAGATCTTTAAGTGGCAAAGCAGTAATTTATGAGAAATAAAATGTTGCTATGGTTCAGAGTCTAGACAATTATGTTTTCAAGAGAATTACCAAGTATTATACACTGGGTCTCATTCCTGCATGTTCATACACATTCAGGTGCACTCCTCATGGGTTGCAGTTACAGGAGTCTGTAGGAAGCATTTAGATGGAATGATTGCACAGAAATAATTAAATAAAAAGATTTTTTAGTGACCATATACCTCAGTACTTTCAAGCTCCAGCGTACTGCCTTTTGTTGAGTAGAATTCTGAAGACCAGAAAAATAGTATCAGGAGCATGAACAGAGAAATGCAGAAATCAAAAGGACTTTTTAAAAATTGTATATCTCTTAGCAGTTGAACAGAGCTCTAGAAAGTGGACTTTAAACTTTTAATGGGTTAAAAAATGAAAAAATAAAAGGCAATTTGTATCCCTAGTCCATGTAAAATTCTCTAAATGCTGGGACTGTCAAGGCTTTGTGGCAAGTTGTTCTTTATGCCATGTTCTTTATGCTTTATATCCTGATCTGTAAGCATCACATAGATAAGTCAAACAGGGGCAGAAACTGACAGTTTCAGAAATTGTAATTTGATAGTTTCTACTCCATGACCTCTAACCCAGAATTTTTGAGACAAAAGGATGGGATGTTACATAATTAATCAGTTGACATTCAGTATTTAGAATTGGTGCTCATGGTTTGACTGGATGTTATTTAGTATCAAGGAGAAGATTCTTTCAGGTTTTATTTTGCTGTGTGGTTCCTATTTACTGAAAATAATTATATATTATTTACAATTATTGTTGTAATATGGGGTAAATCTGAGCACGAAGACACCAAAAGTCTGAGCTTGTCATCCTGAATCTGCTTGTAGTTACTAGAAGGAAATAGGAAGCCTTCAGGCTATGATTTGCTGTATGTGCTTTGTAAAGTACCTGCCTTAGGATAAGACAACCACTCTCCAGATGATCCATTTTGGCTGCAAAGCTGCTTTGGTCCCAGTCTGTTAGTCATCCTTATAGATGGCCTATCTAAGGCATAGGCTGTAGATGATTATCTTTGATATCAGAAGTAAAAACACATGAATCCCATCCTACCTATGCATAGGCTAAAGATGAATATTTTGTAATTTATGTAAATTACAATAGATTGAAGAAATACACAAAATGAATCTGTGGACTATATGGACAAAGATTTGTACTTTGTGCACTAAGGAACATCTTGTTTTTAATCACCCTTTTAGATATTGGCTACTTTTGGTAGATATTTGAACCGTGGCTAAAACCTGCAGCCTTTGCTCAAGCAAGCTCCCAGGACTACACATTTTGGCTTCTATTATAAATTTTGTAGGCTAAATATTTTACTTGAATTACTTAGGTAATAAAAATATTAATATGCATACATGGTATTTATATTAACTTCAATACAGAGATTGTTTCCTGTCCAAAGCACTATTATTGTTATTTATTTGCAGGAAATGGATAATTTAGTGCCTTGCCTTACCTCCATATTTGTGCAGTTGAAAAATACTTCCAAAAATAATTTTAAGGGGTTCAAATTTTATTTCCTATTTTTACTGGCAATTTAGAATTTATATAGTGAACATAAATCATTGGCAATCCTTGAATCTTACGAAAAATGCACTCAAACAGTTGAAACTAAATGTTAAGCTTTTGCATGTCTTACTGTTGCCACAGCTGCACTAACATTGACTCTATCATCATCCAGAAAATTTGTCAACTGTCACATTTAAAATCTGTAGCACAGTACACAGTTTTCTAAATGTTTACTAAATCAGTTCAAATGCTTACGAAGACTTGAAATCTTGTGTATGGTCTTAGAAGTTAGACTATTTATTAGCGTCATAAAGGGTTTTTTATTTTTATTTTTTTTGTACTTGCATAAAAACTTTACAATAACATCTGGGACACATTCTGTGAAGACACTGAGCCAAATCAGTTATAAACTGTGTGGTCAGCTAATTACTACTATTTGCATCTTGCATGTGAAATTACACAAAATACTGCTGGTTTAATTGCATCTTTTAGTGCATAATTCAGGTACTATTAAAAGTAACACGTGTTTCTCAGTGATTAAAAGTGAAGCTTAACAGCTAGGATTGATGAAAAATTGTGACAAACAGTAATTGCAAGCAGTCACTTGGACTGTGTTTTAATTTAAGTGTACGTAAGAAGAAAATGTTAAAAAAAATTCTGATTAAGCTAGATACTTTCAAGTTATTGTATTCCAAAATTTAAAAGACAGAGAAATAAATAACAGTTAGTAGAATAGAACAATGATACTTCACTGCCTACTTTGTGTCCTGTGACAGTGAAATGAAGTCAGACTATCTCCCTCTGAAACATTCAGTTCTATATAAGACTGTCTTAGTCCTAATAAAAGTTAACTGGGGATAGAAGAGCTGAAAGGCAGTATTTTTTTTTTCTTTACTAAAAACCAGTTCTCCATGACCAGCAATTAAAAGCTGTATGTATGTCCCAGTCCTGCAAAATTTTTATGTCAGTAGCCTGTTGAAGCCAGTTGGACTATTTGCATGTGTAGATGTGAGTGTGTATGCAAATGTTTAGAGCCTCAGTGTTAGAAAAACAGATTCAAGTGTTTGCTGTAGATTAACTCTGGAAGTATTTCCTTACAAAGCTGCTGCTTCATAAATTAAAGCATATGTAATGACACATTAATTCTGGACTGGTATATGTAATTCCTTTGTTTATAGTCCTATGTCTTTTAAGAATGATCAATTCTAACTTAAAAGCATGAAATGCTTGAAATGTATCAATATTTGCCTTATATCTGTGTTTGTATAGAATTCAAATACTTGAAATATAGCAATATTTTTTGCTATGAGAAATAGATACCAAACAAATGATTGTATGTTATTATTATTACATTTTATGTTATAAAAAAGGCTACAGATTATATCATATATAGTTCCTTATTGAATATAGGAAATAAAATTGATTTACTTTTATACTAATATACAAGGTAAGACAAAATAGTGGAAACTTAGCTAAAATAAATTCTTTATCTTGTGCTAGTGG